TCTTTTCGATGCTTTGTTAATGGTGAATGTGATGGTAGAGGTGGTCGTTCGAATGGTTTGGCACGTTCCACGTAAGGTGAAGGTGGAGCAGGTCGTTGAGGTGCTGAAAAGTTTCAGCGCATACACAATAATATAATAGTTTTTGATTCATAATTACTATATTGAGAATTTAATTTTGTAATGGGAATAATTATAATTAAATTTTTGTTTGGGTGAAATTGTACTCACAAAAGTGATTTTGTAATACAAAAAGTGTTTAAAAAATTAATTTATCATATAGTCAATGAAATATCTGAAATTGTTTTACAGATTCTAAAAATACTAAAAAATTTCATTTTTTTAAAACTTCGTAAGACGCAAATTTCCCGTGACTTACGTTTTTTTTTGACGTCAGCAGTAGAATAAGTGGCATCTGGTTGTTCCGAAGGCAACTGGCTATAAATTATTCATCATAATCGTTGTAATAAGTGAAGTTAGCATATGATCACAATATTCTCTATGATTACAAAACATTATTACTTCAGTATATTTTTCGTTTTTGAAAAAGCTTGTATAAGCTATACATTATGAAGTGGATGCATAAATTTAAATTTGGAAGTTAATATATTATAGGTTTATGACTGAAAATAATGAAAGGTCAGAGTCATTTTTCATTAGTGAAAAAATAACGAAACTGTAAGTTAATAAGTGACCTTGGTTGAGATATGACTGTAGATGATGTTGGTGTCACTTCAGCTGACATTTGTGACATCGGTGCTGGAGAAGTTATTTTTTCCATATTTTCTTCCTGCGCTTCCCATGAAAATGGATCCGTATCAGATCTACAAAATAGCTAGGATTAAACTTAATCCAGATTTTAAGCAATTAATCAATCTTTATTTTTATCCTTTTCCCCTGAATATTTTTTCAGTAATTATAAGTTATTATTGAAGCAATAATTTTGGAAAAGAATACCAATTTGCAGAATTAGAATTTATTTTGTTAGCAATTATTTAAATATAATTTTATTTATGTCATGAATTTCAAAAATGTTTGCCTGACAACTGAAGGAAACAAAGGTGCGATATATTGCGGAACCGCGATGGATCGGTAGTCTTCATCGCTAGTTTGGACAGTATTTAATTGGTATTGTTGTATACCGTAATCAGTTCCTCTTTCACTATCTATCATGTATTTCAGTCTTTTATACTATTTCACTTAATAAATGATACTGTACATATATGTTAGATTTCAACCATATATTAACAAAATTTGGAACAGCATTATAAATACAAGAAATAGTCAACTGTATACCGTAGTTTGTTGTCTGATCACTTCCGCGAGCTTGTGATTGATCATACTGTAAGGTGCTGTAATTAGATAAAGTTGCTGATTGCTCACCAACATATTGCATTTTTGATGGCTCATTTTCATAATACTGATCTGCGGTGAATGGATGATCATATCCTTGATATATCGAAGGATAATTCATGGAAGTGAAATCTTGATAAGCTACTACTGTTCGATCCTGCGCCCGATAATCACCATAAGGTTGATACTGTGAGTTTGTATCATCCGTAGGAATCTTCTGATAGCTACAGGCTTGCGGTTGATTATAATCATACGCATACTGTTTGTCTGTTTCAATAGGTTGTTCATATGATTTTTTTTCTGAAAATGTACAATATTTATATTTATTTGACTAATTACCCGAAAGCATAATTACTGCAAAACTATAAATGTATCATGATTTTCATTGAGTTATCGAAAAAATCGAGAATTTCAATACCATATTATTTTTGCAGATAATAACATTCTGTATGATGTCTAAAACAAAACACTGTTTAATTTGGCAAAAAACTGAATACCAAAAATGAATTTAGGTAAATACAGTCTTAAAAAATTATAGAAATCGATCTGGATATTTTTATTAGCCAGTTTGTTTTTTTTTGACTATTCAAATCAGAAAGCTTGAAATTAAAGAGGAAGTGAACAAGCACATTTACCGTTTTCTTGAGAATCTGCACTATCAATACCAAATTGGTAACTGCTATCTTCACCACCTATATTTGTGGTATGCTCTAATGTTGATTGGTAACCATAAACATTTGGATAGGTCAGATCCTGATGTATTTGATCTTTTTGGTAAGTCAAATCCTGTGAATTACTAGCAGTTCGGTCATCAGTGGTTTGAGGATTTGTCTGAGCCTTCAGATCAACGCCCATATTTGTCATTATGCTTATCTCCTCTTCTTCTTGTTCTAAACAATGCGAAAAAAGAATAAATTAAGAACTTTGACCAACAACTCTGAAGATTTTATATTCACTAAGTAAGCTTATAATTAAGTTTTTATAAGTCATTCAAAATTATAAAGGCAGTTTTAGTTCTTTAAAGAATTTTTGATTCTTGAACTTCGAACTTTTACATATCAAGAATTTAATATTTGAACTTACTAATAAGCGGATCATACTGAAATACTTAAAAAACTTTAAAATAAATCACCAGTAGTTTGTATTTGAGAACTTTCCTCTGACTGTTGTACAGTATTATTTTTACTTAAATCACTCTGCGTAAGAATCTGCAATTTGAAAATTATCGTATTGAGCATTACATTGGACACAGAATTTATGAATTTATTTTGCAAAACAAATCAGTTTATTAGTTTTGAAATTGGAAATTACGGTAAAATTTAAACTTGCAGCTAAAATTACTAAAATATATTTCTGAAATCTCATTAAGGATATGATTTACTGAGTTAACATTTGGATATATTATTTAAAAAAAGAAGCAGAATCAGCCAATAGCAATTTTATTTTCATCGAATTTCAATACTGATAGTAATTTGATACTTGTAAGCATTCAACATGCCAAAATAAATAACTTTTATTCAAATTTTTTTCCAACTTTCATATTAATTCAAATGTTGCAGCAGTAATTAAAATGAAGTAGAGTCCTGAAGAAAACTTATTTGACATAAAGCATACTGTAGAAAACTGAAAAAAATAATCTGAATTTAAAAAAAATATCATTAAAAAAAATTTATCAACCTCGTTTTGATGGTTGGAATCATTTGTAGAGGTTTTGACAGAAGTTGTGGTGTCGTTTGATGCCAGTTGATCATATCTTTTTACTTCCATATATGCTGATGAAGAATTCTTAACAAATTTATTATTATTGTTATTGTTATTATTATTATTATTATTATTATTATTATTAAATTATTGACTAATTATTTAAAAAATGACATAAGTGCTATTACCTCATTGAAAAGAGATATATAATAGATATGATACAGTACTACTGAAAGATTCTAAATTTGGCTACAAATACTCTCTTTGAGGCCTTGTATAGACATAAATAACCACGTTATTAATTAACACATTATTAATAATCTTAAAAAGATGAGAAGTAAAGAAAAAAAAGTATTCATTAGTCATGTAATGTGAAATTTCAATTGTTTGAGCACAAAATTTTAATTAGCGGCAAAAATGATATCACATATTTGCTAGCAGAATATGTTAATTC